AGTTGGTTCCCCTGGTCCAATCCACTGTTTAGACTGTTCTTTGGTTTCAGGAGTGTAGTGGTGGACCCACGTTTCGTCAACGGTTACGAATCGACGCAAAAATTCGCTTGGATTACGCTTATACAATGACAAATTTGCGGTAGAAATGTTTTTTCGAATCAATTTTTGGTCGACTGTTAGCAAACGCGGCACCCATCTTGCACAGAGCTTTTCCATATGCAAATGTTGGTGCAAAATATGTTGCACACGTTCATATGACATCTTACAGGTCTCAGCTATCTCACGCACTTTCAATCTGCGGTCTCCCAGCACTATTTGATGAATTTTTTCGATCATATCTGGAGTTGTGACCTCAACGGGGCGTCCTGAGCGAGGCCCATCAGAGGTGCTCACACGACCCTTTTTAAACTCGGAAACCCACTGCTTAACGGTTGAATATGACGGGGAGGATGTCCCCAGTGTTGAGTCCATCTCTTTTTTAATTTCCTTCGGCGTTAACCCCTTCAAATAAAAGTATTTGATGACAGCACGATTTTCCTGCTTTTCCATTTTTACGAAAACCACAGAGGCGTCTTGTTCAGCGTGCTGTCAAACCTACACTAGCAAGGAGATCGGGCTGAAACTATAGCTACAAGCTATCCAAGGATGGTACTATAGAATGTCACCTCAAGGTAGGCCTAGTGGCGTCATCTCTTGGTTAGGCCGGAAACTTATCAATCCACCCTCGTATTTATTTAATCTAACATCAATTTAGTAAACAGTCAATGGGTAATTCATGTCGTTCAGCCTGGTTCAATTTTTATACAAAAAAGCACTTTCAGTTTTTCTCGAACTTTCCAATTTCAAGTAAAAGCATTCTTCGGCCAATACATTTAATATTAAGACAGAAACTAGAAAAAAATTAATAAACGTAAATTAAGATGAGAAAAAAGGCGTAGCAGTGGGTGTGAATTGATCTCAGGTCCGCTTGTACGTCACTCCAAGATCGATACCGCCGATCCATTTACTGCTTCTTAAAAACTGTTCGTTAATGTTGATATTCCAGAAAGTTCTTTTAAATGAAGAGAAAAACTAATAGCAGACGACATTAAACATTAGACTAGAGGCTGTTAAATTTGTCCTAAATTAAATGTTTAAATTTTAATGTGCGTTGACAGAGTCTATAATTAATCATCAGCAAAATGTTAAATGTTAACTCACAAAAACGTCTTTTTTTATGTTGTATAGCATACAAAGTTCCCCGGTGACATTAGGGTGTGCTCATTCAGCCAGTAAAAGTCAATATTTTAAAATAACACTCTTTTGTCTTTTTGAACCCTTCGTCTCCTCCCTTCTATGTAAATAATGAACAAAGGAGTCCCGATATCAGCTTTTTATCTAATGAGATCCGGTAATTGATTTTCCACCTTCTTTTTTTGTAAGAGTTCTTGCGAGAACTGAAAATTTTTCAGTCATTGAGGAACCAAAAAAGTTTACAAAATCTTGAAGCTTTAGACATTCACTTTTTGATAAGATCATTGTTGGTCATTTTTTATGTCATTTTGAGTCTATTTTCTCGGAAATTATGTAGGTCTACCTCTACTTTTCTTAACTCATACTAGCTCAGGATTGGAATGAGTACAAGTGCGTGCTCAACCAGTCTTAAGACTGATGGTTCTATGAAGATGAAGGTGATGATGAAATGGTGTCATCATTAATCGTATGATCTATGCAACAAACAATAAAGGAGATCGCATGAAGCTGGCATAAGAATGTACTCATTATCATAAGGTCGTCAGTCTTCAGACTACTTGGACACGCACCTCCACTCTTTCCTATCCTGAGCTAATCTTCGCATTTCCCCAAATCTAGAACAACCCACATCCTTAACTATTTCCGAACAGCAGTCTAATCTGGGTTTACCTCTACTCTTCTTAACTCCTGCTTCTAAAATGTCTCTAACTAGCCCTTCATACCTGAGAAGGTGTCCTACCACCTTATCTCGCCTATTCCTTGTTTTCTTTTATATCGTCCTATGTCCTCCTATTAATTCTAGTACCTCATCTTTTCTAGTCTTTTCTAACTACAGTATCCTCATCATTTGGCTGTAACACCACATTTCGATTGCGTCTAAATTTTAGTACAGAGTAGTGGTTCAATCCTTCCTAATCGAATTTTTAAATTAACCATACGCGAGTATAGAAGTGACTTCTATTTGTTGAAGGCGACTCGTCCTCCCGCTATCCTCTGTTTTATATCTCTACTGCTTCTTCTATCCTGGGAGTTATCTAACTCCCTAAATACAGCCACCTCTTCTAATTCTATGTCTCCTACCTTTATATTAACTCTTCTCCTACTTCTTCTTCCCTTGCGTACCAGTATTTTTGTTTTACTTTGATTTATTTTCACACTGTTTTGTCAATACCGTTTCTATTTTATTTAAGGCCATATCTCTCTCCTCCTTGCTAGATACTCGAAAATAGTTGATGCCGTTTTTGTATTTAATTATTTATTTATTGTTTACGTTTCAATAGTAATTATTATTTTCGNTTACTTTGATTTATTTTCACACTGTTTTGTCAATACCGTTTCTATTTTATTTAAGGCCATATCTCTCTCCTCCTTGCTAGATACTCGAAAATAGTTGATGCCGTTTTTGTATTTAATTATTTATTTATTGTTTACGTTTCAATAGTAATTATTATTTTCGGAAAACAATGCCATTTTTTTCTGTTTCCGATAGAGATACTTCCTGAAAGGAATCTATATCTATTCGGGCATGCATTTATAAAGTGTTGAATAATTCATCGGGCAGCTTTCCGTTTAATGGACATTCAACTAATAATTTCATCCGCCTGTCGCGAATTTCAAATTACTTTTTGTAACAGAGATTAATTAGAAAATGCCGAAAGGATTTTAGTTGCCATTTTGAAGACTCAAAGTTTGGTATTGGAGCAGTCATTTTAGAGGACGAGTTGTCTCCTTAATAAATCCTTTTAAATTGACAATTAAACTGATTTATCAGTATCACATTATGTTTCTCTTTATACAGTGTAAACTCTTTATAACGTCACTCGATTTAACGACAAACTCCTTAAAACGTCGAAATTGCTTGACTTTGGTTGGTTTACAGCATTTTCTATACAATATTATACTCTATATAGCGTCACGCTCATTCTATTTAACGACAACAATGCGGCATTATAAATCATTAAGCAGTACTTTCTAAGTTGACGAAATAGATAAGAACTGCAGCTGTGTACGTTGTTGAAGAAGACGATCCTGTCCCTCCACCAAGCATCAAACAAGCACTTGATGCAGCGATACTATTAAAAAATACTTTCTATATAATCAAATTGATGCAGCAGTATCTCAAGATATGAGTAAGATACGTAACAAAATACAATTAAAATATTGGAGCAGCAAAAAACATCAGACGAAGATAACAGGCTATACGTAATGTATGAATAATAATGTTCGTGTGCAAAATGTGTACTATATTGGTAAATGCATATTATTATAGAATAGTAAAATAATATCCTTTATTTCTCTCCGTTTAACGACCACTCTTTATAACGCCGAAAAATGTTCTGTCCCTTAAGTGTCGTTTTATACAGTTTACACTGTATTGCGGAATCATATTGCAGTACATAAAAATTTAGTTTTTTCAGAATTAATAATTATCAAATCATGCGTTTGNTTCTAGTTTTAGGGAAATGCGAAGTTTAGCTCAGGATAGGAAAGAGTGGAGGTACGTGTCCAACCAGTCTTAGGACTGATGACCTTATGATGATGATGAAAGGAACAAGTTAGGTCTAAAACCATATCTAAATCTAATTCTATACTTTACGAGGTTTGTCTGCTTGGGTTCTATTACGGTTGAACTGTTACAATATGAATACGAGCGTCAGGTTTTCTTGACTAGAACTACTTTATAGTCAAAGTAGTATATCCCTAGGATTGAAGGATTAAATGTTACTTTTAACGTTTGTCTTTTCTTTCTGTACGCAACAGGGCCAAAAATTATTAAATTGTGTAGGGAATGAAAGTTTAAAACATGTGGCAAATTTAAAAAATGAATAACAGTCACCATTTGCAATGCAGCTGTTTCATAAAAGTAATCAAAAACGCGTTACTTCCGAGTTTTACGGTCGGAGTTTACCTCGTCTTTACGGTCACATAGATATAAAACTTGTAGCCGAAATCAAGTTTTAAAATCTAATTTTCGCTGTTCTCAAACTTCCACAAGTTCCAAATAGATTTTTATTTCATAGCTTCACTAAACTTGGAAATTACTTTTTATCATTTAATTAATAGATAAATGCAATTCATTTTTAGCACAAAAAGATTTTGATCTACTGCAATCTATCGAAAGAAGATAAGAAGATACCTTTTTTAGGGTATATCATTTCTCAGAGTTGGTAATGCTGAAAACAAGAACGAACTACATCATTAAAACAAAACAATTTTCCTTGCCTATTGTTTAATTATTATTATAAGGGAAAACACAATATTTTCTACTTTCTGTGAGTCAATATAATGTGCTTTTGATTTCAATATTTAGCAAAAAGTTATTTACTAACAATATTCTATATAGATATAATAAAGCGAGTTTTGTAAATGTAAAGTTTAACTTCTGAAAGTTGGCTTTGCTGACAGGATCAATTAGAAACAATCAAAACTCTTGTGTTTGAAGCATGGTTAGGAGAGCAGTTTACTTTTTGCTGCTTTCCATATCTATTGTTTTAATTCAGCGCTGCCAACGGCTTGTGTATGAGATTAAATTCCCTATGAAATAAACATGTCTCCTTACGGACTATTTAAATAATAATTTGGAATTAAAACTACAGACAAGTACAAATCAACTTTAGAGACCTATACATTTAGGTACAATGTTTAACTTTCAAATGAAACAAAACTGTTTAAAACCGCAAAGGTTCCATTACGCCAGTTTTAATAGGGTATTTCATTTACACTGACCTTTTATGAAAAACTCCATTAAACGTTATTTCCTTTTAAAGTTCCCGTTACATGGTTCGAATATCGTGTTAGCGAGAGAGAGGTGAACTGTTATTTGAAATAAATCCTGTTGATAAATTCGAGTAATAATCATTGTTAAAACAAAGTGCGAAAAACAGTAACTGCCCGGAAAGTGATCTCAAACAAATAAACCAAGCATAAATGTAATAGCCACATGATTATTTAAATTATGAATTAATAAATGTTTCAGTAATTACTAGACATCAAACTATTTTAATGTAAACTAGTGTGAACTGTGAACGAGTGGTTCAATATGGCTGCCAGTCGTTTGTTTGGGGCTCCACATCTGTTTATCATCTTGGTTACGCTGATTGCATTGTCTCGACAGTCTTTTCAAGGTAAGGAATAACTTATTAGTGACATCTAGGGATTATTATTACTATGTATGAAGAAAATCTGGTCAAACCTTTAGTGAAAAACAAAAATTAGTGACGAATATAATGTCAAACGTGCAGCGATCGGTTTATTTTATGTTGCGCCACGGTTTCATTTGGTGGAATGCAACTTTTGGAACAGTTGAGAAGCGTTCATTTATTCTTTGGCATATTTGAATGAAGCCAATAGGCAACAGAACGTGCTCAAGTGTAGTTTGTCTATCTCTTTATACATCTTGCTATCAAGATAAGAAGAACGCAGAAACGGGTTGTGAACATTACGAATTGTTCAATTTACTGTTAAATTTGGACACTTTCGGAGTTTTCAAAATGGTTTTATTTCTAATATGTTCTTAAAACTTGACAACACGTATACATTGATGGAGAAAATTAGTGGATAAGGATTAATACTTTATAAACACACGGTTCACAATAATATCTGTACCTACATTCAACGAATTTGCGTCAATCAATCTAGACGAAGGACAAAAATAAAAAAATTACAAAAATGACGTAATATTCGCGATATAACTATCTATCATAGAGGTACGTAACATGGCGGACAGGGACGGATTAAGGAGTTTATACATCCACAAAACACATAAATTTACCTAAACACATACACACAAATACCCTATATACAATATGGCCTACTTTGACGTTATTACGTGAACGTTTTTGGCAAATCCATGGTCTAATCCCTGTTTGAATATTTCATCTGCAATATGTCATCAGACCAAATTCACGTGACATCGCGCGCTGTTCGCTCGCTAATAATGCAATCCGTGATCTGATAAAATCCAAAATGGCGGCGGACAGGTGCAGGGGGCGATGTTTCGTTAATTCGAATTACCCAAATCCCGAAATTAAATTCGACGAACGCGTTTCGTAAACATACGTCCACGTTGTCGTCCACATATTTTCGTTATTTTGACAGTTCTGACGGACGTACAGACTGACGGAATCAGCGTTATTATGTCGGACGGGTACCTAACGGTGAATAAATTAATAACCAATTAATTAATTAATTGCTTTCGACGATCAGACGCCCTTTCATGTGCGTTGTCGTCAACGTTTACGCTTTATAATAAAGTCACGGATGGGTAAATTTGTTTAACGCCGAAAAATTGATTACCCATCGGAGGGTTTGACAAGCGACAGTCGATGTACAGGGACGGACCGATGTGATTAAAGACCATTATGCCACTGTCAAAGTCAGGTTCGGTAAAACTCAGGCATGTACAGTCATTTTGTCTAACATATGAAAAATAGTTGGGAACGTCCCAAAGAACAACTACTCTGGATCATGTCTAGCTACCAACCAGTCAGTTATACAGTCGATCCTGATCTTTTGCGTACCTAAGCAACTTCTAACCGCTCTTTTTTATTAGGTTATCTCTTTTCATTTTGCCTGTATTACTTATGATGCATTTCCTAATTTAACAAGGGCGTCTTCAAAACGCAGCAAATGACTACAGCCTCATGTGGAAACAAGAAAAAAGATACATCCGTTCTCACAGATAATTTATAGGAATAAATTGTGTTGGTAGCATTGTCTGTCTGCCACCTTTAAGTAATAATGTTTTCGTAATTTCTTTCTATAGTGTTCAGTTTATTAATTGCTTTGGTGAATTTGTGTATATTTTGGTAGCCCTGTCTGTCGTTGTTTAACAATGCTCTCGCTCTTTCGTTTGTTTCGTAATTATTGAAGTGATGCTATCGAAATGTAAAAAACAGTGCTACTAACATTATTGCCTCTTATATGGGTAAATTCATACAAATACAAGAAAAAAAAAGACGCCATTACTTTGCGAAAAAAAATCACAGAAACATTTCCTTTGGTTGAAATTACTTGAAAGCAGCAACAATTTTTTCTCATTAATATTAAAAACAACACACTATAATTGTTGTCGCCAAACAAACGTTCTATTACAAATTAATGTAATTGAAGTAATGATTCAGACTTTTAAATGAAAAAACGAAATTTCAAAAACGGACATTTTTATGACAATTTGAAACTATGTTAAATTTTTCGTTGTAGCTGTAATTCCACTGATAAATCTATCTCCACGCCAAGCACGCATCGAGCTGGAAGCCCGTGTGTGGGATGTGGAAAGAAAACAAAACAAAAAAGTGTCGTCCAAATTGCCGTTTAATGGCCCTTGCAAGGTTGCCATTTGTTTCGACAATGCACAAAGCAATTTCGCGGGCTAACGACCCACTCTGTATATATTTTTCATTTTTATTCTCTTGCTTGACGATTCCGTCCATTCGGTCGCTCCGCTACGAGCAAGAAAATCTAAAATAGAGAGACAGAGAGAGATGTTGTTGGAAGACTGAGTACGACAAAGAGAGAGGCAGAAAGAGTTGGGAGGCACGTGGAGGTAATTTGTCACCGTGTTTGAAGATAACGCAAAGTGTACTGTTAACATAATACTATGCAGTACAAGATGAAAGGGTGAACATTCATGGGATGTACCCGTATTACATATACGTACACGATATGCACGTCTAGGGCTGCATTTACACAAGACGATTGCAACTAGATGGCGTATATTGAGAATAAGTACTTGCTACGTGAATATAATACAAATTCTCTCCGGGAAATAATTCACATGCTCACGTTTCTCAAAATGTTATTGAAAACGTGATTCACACTTCTTATTCTCCTCTTATAACTCTCTTCCCCCGCTAGCCCATCTTTAACGTATGCTCCCTCATTATCAGCTGTGGATCAGGCATGTATATGAAAGGGATTTCAAAATATTTCTAAATTAATAATGGAATCAATTTAGTTCATCGACTTCATGATGAAGAGCTTCTGGGCTTTTCTGCTGTGATCGAATTCTGATTGCAGACGTTTCGCCAAGCTTAACAGATGATATCTTCGGTGCTTCACTGTGTATGATTGGCGGCTGAATGGTTAATGTGGGATCTTAGTCTCGCGGTCACGGTTGGCATCGTCATGTTTCGTTCCGGTAGGTGGCAGTGGTTTTCAGGATCTCGTCATCATCATAAGGTAAAGATAACTCTCATTTTCTCAGGAATGGGGTTGAATGTTGAAATTAATACCAAGGTTTCTAAGTCTGTGAATGGCCAAATTGTGCCAAGTAGTGTTTGTTAATTGTCTCTAGTACATGTCATCATCATAAGGTCGTCAGTCTTAAGACTGGCTGGACACGCACCTCCACTCTTTCCTATCCTGAGCTAATCTTCGCATTTCCCTAAAACTAGAACAACCCACATCCTTAACTATTTGCGAACAGTAACCTAACCTAGGTCTACCTCTACCCCTCCTAACTCCCGTTTCTGCCTGTAATATGTCTCTGACTAGACCTTCATGCCTGAGAAGGTGTCCTACTAACCTATCTAGCCTATTTCATATTGACTTCCATAGAGTCCACTGCTCTCCTACTTTTTCTAAAACTTTTCATTTCTAACCTTCTCTATCCACGGTATCTTCATCATTCGCCTGTAACACCATCGCATCCGTAAAGCGCCGTGCTTCAAACATACACCTTTAACAACAAACAGAAAAACTCAAAACCCCAACGCCAAAACACGACACTGTAGTTGTCCGAAGCACTTTTCGGTAACTGAGACAGTTTACTTCAGTCCCTGAAGAAGGTGTCGTGTTTTGGGGTTGGGGTTTTGAGTTTTTCTGTTTGTTCTACAACAACCGCCAAAGTTTTTCCAATCTTCATATACCTTTAACAACCTTTTTAGAATCTCTAAATTAACCTTTCGCGAGCATAGAAGTGACTTCTTTCTATTGAAGGCTACTCGAGCCTGCGCTATCCTCTGATTTATATCCCTACTACTCTTTCCGTCCGGACTTCCTTCCTGACACGTTCCAGGCTCTGTTTATCTTTAATCTATCTTCTCTGTTAAGATTATCCGGATATTGTGCAATTTCTAAGGCTTATCTCCTAGCTAAATTGTAATAGCCTGACGTGTGTACTAACACTTACGTATCTTCGAAGGAGATCCTGTGTCCTTTCTTTCAGGAATGTTCTGCTAAAGTGGATTTGCCTGGTTGGTGTAAGCGCAAATGTCTTTCGTGTTCCTTTTTCCTTGTTGCGATCGTGAATTCTGTTATACCTTGGAACAATCTCCGCAAGGAATCAAGTAGACTCCTGGTGTATGTAGTGGGTTTAGTTAGTCTTTGGGGTTTCTGGCGTATCTTCCTCGTAGGTGTGAAAATCGTTCTAATTCCATTTTTACGTAGTAACTCAGAGATCCGATCCGTTACGTTGTGGATATACGAGGGTGGATTGATAAGTTTCCGGCCTGACCAAGAAAAACAAGGTTCTTAAAAATTTTTTTTTTTTATTTCTCAACATAATCTCCTCCAAGGCTGATACATTTCTCATAGCGGTGTTCCAGTCTATTAATGCCATCTCTATAGATCCTCAAAATAACCATTTACAGCTTCGATTACTTCTTCATTGTCCGCAAATCTCTTACCGCCAAGCCATTTTTTGAGATTAGGGAACAGAAAATAGTCACTCGGGGCTAGGTCTGGAGAGTAAGGAGGGTGCGGCATCAATTCAAACTTTAGATCGTTGATTTTAGCCGTCGCAACGATTGACGTGTGCGCTGGTGCGTTATCGTGATGAAACAAGATTTTTTTCTTCGCCAGATGAGGTCGTTTAATTTTCACCTCGTGGCTCAAACGTTGCAATAAGTCTGCGTAGTATTGACCAGTGATAGTATTACCCTTTGCAAGGTAATCAATGTATATAATACCTCTTGCATCCCAAAAAACAGTAGCCATAACCTTGTTCGCCGAAAAAATTGTTTTTGCCTTCTTTGGAGTTGGTTCCCCTGGTCCAATCCACTGTTTAGACTGTTCTTTGGTTTCAGGAGTGTAGTGGTGGACCCACGTTTCGTCAACGGTTACGAATCGACGCAAAAATTCGCTTGGATTACGCTTATACAATGACAAATTTGCGGTAGAAATG